TAATTTTTTTTATTTGATTTTTAGATTTATTTATTTTTAGATCTATTGAAAAAGTTTCAAAATAAGTTGTAGCCTTGTTGTTTATATTTAATGACAAAAAGTACGATGAGCCTAGCATAAATAATTTAAATTTTTGTCTGAAACTTTTTTGACTGTAAGAATAAAAAGTCAATACAATTATAAAGTTAACAAAGTCCCCACAGCCATTACATGTTACTCGGCAATTTTTGTAACGTCCGTAATAATAAAAAATTGCGAGTAAAAGCTATCGTTATTAAATTAAATACTACCGCAATAGTTACTATTGCAAACATGTTTGTTGTGCTTGTAATAATTAAGCTTAAGCTTGTAAGCATAATAATTACAGTAGTTTTTACTCACAACTTTTGATTATTACGGACGCTATAGCTATACAAAAATTGCCGAAAATGCCAGTAGCATCACATTGTGTTGATAATAAAAAACAATTTATACAGAAATATTCTCTCTAAAAATGAATTAGTCAAAAATGACTATCATAGCGAAAAAGCAGCCACTAATAATTTTCGTCAATAGCAATTTATATTCCGAACATTTAGAAGTCAATTTCCATGTAAAATTGTCCCCTAAATCCGAAAATATCGTCAAAAGTTATAAAAGTAGAACAGTTTTTGAGATATAGTCAATTTTCCATATAATATGGAATTGACTATATCTCAAAAACTGCTATACTTTCATAATTTTTGACGGTATTTTCGAATTCATGTTGGGGATACCATGGTATCCCATGGTTAACCATGGCATGTGAAAAAAGCTGGCTAAAATCCGAAAAATTGAATGAAAAATTGTGATGTTTTGTGTATGTATTATGATAAGGAGACCTATTCTACGTATTAAAACTACAGGGAAAATTAGGTAGCTTCGGTACTATTTTACAAGATATAAAAATGTCATTCAATAAGCAACTGTATAATATGAACAATAATCGATTCGTTCTATAAAAAGCATTGAAATAGTTATCATCCCACGAGATCCCAGGCTGTTGTAAAATTTTAAGTTAAAATATTGATTTAACAAATATAAATCATCAAAAATTTCTTGCGACTTGCTGCGACTTTGGCTGTAGCATGACATTTTGTAGAGCCGCGCGTGGTTTTCTTTTGGTACATAACAAAGGGTGGCTACTTTCTGGAAAACCGATAAATATTATGGAATTTATTTTATCAGGGAATAATTAATGAAATTGCTATAAAATTTAATTAATTAAAAAAAAATGTTTTCCAAACGATTTAAATAAGTTACAGCCCTATTAAAATATAAAAAATAAATACTTCGGAAAATTATCAGTGGTTCTTGGAAGTGGTAGCCTTTTTTTAGTATTATTTATTTTATAATAAATATTTTGATAAAAATGTTATTAAATTATACAGGGTGTCTCTTAGGTTTAATATCTATATATAATATATATAATATATATATATATATATATATATATATATATAAATAATAATAATATAAATAAAAAGTATTTAGATTTTTTTCTTTTAATCTTTCTATACATTTAAAATCTTTCTAAATAATTTATGTTGTTTAATCAATTTATTGTTTTTAATGCAATAAACAATATATTAAAAAAAAAAAATTAATCACTGGAAAACCGGAAAATGTTTGAGAAATCTGATTTAATAAAAAGTGGCTACCATTATAATAGTTTAGCCTACAATAGTTAGGCGCCCGTGCCCTTTATACCCGTTCTCTTGAAAAAGTTCTAAATCCATGTACAGGGCGTTTGTTTCTAACGCATTAAGTGTTTATATTTGTAAATTCAAAAATGTATCTTAAACGAAGCTATAGCTTAGCATAGTAACACAGTTACTATGTACTGAATATGTTTTTGTATAAGTGTAAGCAAAAAAATTCCTATTTTTTTAATGTCGGCCATATGTTTTTGGAATAAGGGAAATCAATTTTTTTATCAGCTACCTCAAAAACCATAGGTTGCTAAATTTACGATATCAGAACATTTTTTAGTAAAATGTTCGCTATTTTAATTTTCGAAAAATTATATTGTTTTTGAAAAAATTTAAATCAAATTCATTATCAGCGACCTAAACACCACATACTGTCAAATTTAAGTAATATCATTTTTATTTTTTGGAAAATTGTCCGCCATATTTGATACACCATTTTTTTAATGGATATTAAATTTGTTATCAGCTAACTCAAAAACCACAGGTTGATAAATTTGAGCGATATCAGAATATTTTTTTGAAAAAGTCCTCCATTTTGGATCCGCCATTTTGTTTTTCGAAAAATTAATATAAATATCGCAATTAGTGACCTCAAAAACCACATGTTGCCAAATTAAGGCGATATCAGAACATTTGTTAAAAAAATGTCCGCCATATTGGATCCGCCATTTTGTTTTTGAAAAAAGAATATCAAATTCGTAATCAGTGACCCTAAAAACTCTTAAGTCCCTGTTTTGGTAAACATGGAACTAAACCTTCATATTTTGACCATTTTTTGGGCTTTTGGACCACTACACATGTGTAGCGAATCCTTGGATTATATACGTAAAAGAAAACAACAATAGTCATATCTATATCTATAGTCATTAGGGTGTGTCATTTTTGAGCAACTTTTTTTTTCAACTAAAAAACAGGCTAAAAACTTTCAGGAAGGTGACAAAAGAAGCCTCTAAAAATTTGAGCTCTTAATATTAACATTAAGTGGTGCCTGTTCCAAACTTTCCATTTTCCATTTAAATAACGAGGAAAAAAAATTTCTTTTTTCTTATTTTTTAGCTTGACATTTGAGCATTGTAAAAACGAACCGAAAAATTATTTTGGTAGGAAATTGAACGCTCTACAAAAAAGTTTCAATTTATTTTTTCATAGAGTGAGCAGTTCTGAAGTTATTCAAACTTTCAAACTGACGACTTTTTTATGTCTTAAAAATTATTTAAAGAAAAAATAATTATTTTCGTATAGAAAGAAAATAACACTTACAACTCAATTTTTTTTCCTTTTTATTTTATTTACTATAAAAAAAGGTATTTGAGTTCAATAAATTTGTTCAATTATAGATTAAATAAAACAATGAATTTGTATATACAGGGTGTTTCTTTTAACTTGAGACAGCTCAATATCTCGAGAAATACGCATTTCACGGAAAAATTTCTTAAATAAAAGGTTAATGTGACCAAAGGGGACATTATTTGGTGCTACCGCTAGACACCCCCTACCCCTCCTTAAGGATGAAACGGGGGGTAACTTTGGAAAGTCAAATGGAATGACCCGATTTTTTTCACAGAGTTTGGTAGTACATAAAAAAATGAATAATTTTGATTTGAAAGTTTTTTTCAATTTATCAACAGATGGCGCTGTAATTAAAAGGGATTTCCTTGTAAAATGTATTATTTGAAACGTTTGAAAAACAAAAATTAACATTAAATCAACAATAGTCTGCTCTGAAAACAATTTATAACAAATGTTCGAAATGTCGTCCTTTCATTTCGACACCAAGTGGAGCACCAGCGTCCCTGGTCGGTAAACGTTTGGTGCGGTACCTTAAGCGAACGATTAATCGGACCCTTCTTTATTGACGGTGCATTAAACGGCGAAAAGTACCGGAATTTTCTAGAAAACGATCTGACGGACCTTTTGGAGGATGTTACATTGTACCACTAGCACGGCTCCAAAACATGTGGTACCAGCAAGATGGTTGTCCTGCACATTATTCGACAATTGCTCGAGAGGTGTTGGATCGGGTGTTCAATGGCCGGTGCACCGCGGTGGATCGGTAGACGTGGTCCAGTAATTTGGCCTGCTCGATCACCTGATCTTACGCCACCAGACTTCTTCCAGTGGGGTTACTTGAAAGAAAAAGTTTACGCTGCAATCCTAAAACTTGGGAGGACATGGTGGAGCGGATCAGGAACGCCTGTGCGGCGATACCGCCCGATATGTTGGCGCGTTGTGTGCCAGAATACCCGCATTCAAAAATGTGTTGAAATGGAATGACGACATTTCGAACATTTGTTATAAATTGTTTTCATAGCCGACTATTGTTGTTAATGTTAATTTTTGTTTTTCAAACGTTTCAATTAATACATTTTACAAGGAAACTCATTTTTCTTAAATTTTGAATTACAGCGCCATCTGTTGATAAATTGAAAAAAGTTTTAAATAAAAGTTATTTATTTTTTTATGTACTACCAAACTCTGTGAAAAAAATCGGGTCATTCCATTTGACTTTCCAAAGTTACCCCCCGTTTCTCCCTTAAGGAGGGGTAGGGGGTGGCTAGCGGTAGCACCAAATAATGTCCCCTTTAGTCACATTAACCTTTTATTTAAGACATTTTTCCGTGAAATGCGTATTTCTCGAGATATTGAGCTGTCTCAAGTTAAAAGAAACACCCTGTATATATATTTGTATATATTTATTATTTTATATATATATTATTTTTTATTTTAAACTCGATAACTCTGATAAAAGATTATATCGGCTCAGTTGGTATATTACCGTTCGGATTACACAGTTACTAGAGGCACGCTAACGTGCCGCGATTCGAAATGTTAAAGGCAACTTTAAGTTTGAATACCTTCAGAACGGCTCACTCTATGAAAAAATATATTGAAACTTTTTGTAGAGCGTTCAATTTCCTACCAAAATAATTTTTCAGTTCGTTTTTACAATGCTCAAATGTCAAGCTACAAAAATAAGAAAAAAGAATTTTTTTCCATGTTATTTAAATGGAAAATGGAAAGTTCGGAACAGGCACCATGTAATGTTAATATTAAGAGCTCAAATTTTTAAGGCTTCTTTTTTCATTTTCCTGAAAGTTTTTAGCCTGTTTTTTAGTTAAAAAAAAAAATTTGACACCCTAATAGTCATTTTTGACTAATTCAATTTTAGAGAGTTGCTTTTGAATTGCTTGCATCGATTTATCTCATATACATTACCCACCCATCTGGTTTGGCTGCGGGTTGTGCAGCTGATTCTTTCCCGCTTTGCAGCTAGAGTAGACGTGATGCCAGGGCCTCCAAGGCATCTGGTCTGTGGTCGGGGTGTAAGCAGGCGACGCCGCCTCGATCTCGAACTGCTCGCAGTTTCCCAAATATTGCAGCGTCTCCACCGACGAAATAAAGCTGCGAACGAGCTCGCTGTGCAAAAGATGACGACTGCCCGACATCAGATCGGGGTAATCGGCCGTGTTCACGAACACCACCAGCTCTTTCTGAAACGGTTTCCTTATATGATTTTGGGGTAAACCAGGACCGCATTTATGTAAAAGAAAAATAAACAGTTTATTAAGCAAATACACCCATTTTTCTAAATTCCAACTTAAATAAACTGCGCACCACTCAATGTGTCGCGACCAAAAAGTTCGTTCTTTTTCAAAACGACATAACTTTTTTGTTTCTTGAACTATTTTATTTTGGTCAGTGTTGTCTGCTAGCCTCATCCTTTGGCAATTCATGCTATAGATATGAAGCTCACGGTTCTTCAAATAAATTTCCTTCAGGGTGATATGTTAAACGGTGAAAAATTTTAATAACTTCATCCAAGCCCCGTTTGTAGCAAAATAATTTTTTCCTTGATTTACTTTAAGATAATGAAGTATTATGTCATACCTTGTAGCGTTTTTCAAATGTTTCGAATTGGAATGTTAACAACGAAAATATGATTTTTTTTCAAAAGAGTACATTTAAGGCTTTTTTGTAGGCAATACCCTCAGTCTTTTTAGGAACAAGAAGATAAGATGGTGAAATAATGTTCCTTAAATAAGAGACAAGTAACAAACTTCCACTATTTTCAGAGGGCCTAAGCAAAGACCACTTTTTTAAAATAACATTTTGGTGAAAATTTGAGAAAACTAAACCTAAACCGATATTTACGTTCGTGACATGTTTTATTCATAATTTTGACCTCCTGATTGTGATTCAGTTATCAAATTTAAGTTTCAGATAAAACCAAAATTACCAAGATTCGAAAACAATTCCCGGCTGTTAAATGTCTCAATAAAATACGATTTTTTTTAATATTTTTTTACTGTGTTTTGCATCTTTAGTACGATATTAACATGTCGCTGGATAATCAAATCGAGGATCAAATGAAAATTAGTTCTTGAAAAACATTTAAAACGCTTTATGAGGTGGAGAAGTGACTGTTTGGGGTGGAATGGAAAGAGTGAATGCTGAGAGATATAAAGATTTGGTTGTTAGTGATATCGTGGTCCCTTATGCTCAAAATGTTGCCAATAATTGGTGTTGGTGGACGACAATGCCCGTCCGCACCGCGCCAATATCGTAAATGAGTATTTAAGGGACCACCATATTGAGAGAATAAATTGGCCACCTTTGTCTCCGGATATGAATTAAATTGAGCATGTGTGGAGCAGGATGAAACTTAAGATGAAAAAGAGGGAAGGACGCATGGAAAATATGGATAAATTGGTAAATGCTATTCAGGAAGGATGGGCCCAGGAGGGTTAACGAATTATGACGGGTTAGAGGAGGGCCAACGAAATATTGAAAGTTATTTTTGTTATTGTTTGTTACATTTTTTTGCATACAATTTTCTAAAATGAACAAACATTTTTTTATTTAACTTTATTACCAATTAGGTAGGTACTTATCAGTGATAAGTTATCACCAGTGCGCAATGTAAATGTAACTTATGTAACATTATCCTAACCACTTAAAAATTTTTTAGTAATTTTGCCCAAAAAATGAATCCCCAGATGGCATTTTAATCATAAATATGCAAGAAACACGCCAGCAATAGAATTTTATTAAGACATTTAACAGCCGGGAATTGTTTTCGAATTTTGATTCTTGGTGATTTTGGTTTTATCTGAAACTTAAATTTTACTTGAAGAACCGTGAGCTTCATATCTATAGCATGAATTGCCAGAGAATGGGGCTAGTAGACATTACAAACCAATATAAAATCGTTTAATAAACAAAAAAGTTATGTCGTTTTGAAAAAGGACGAACTTTTTGGTCGCGACAAATTGAGTGGTGCGCAGTTTATTTGATGGTAATAAACCGAATATAAAAAACAGGTATTTGCTATATTTATTCATATTATCTTCATAAACCTCATGGTCTAAAAGAGGTTAAAACATTACCATTATTATAAACATTTAATTTTCTTAGTTTCTTTAAGAAACTTTCTTGACCCATTACTGGTAATATTCATTAGAAAAAATTGAACCTACACCTCGCCAAAGTTTTTTGTTTTGAGTGCGTTCCACCAACTTCAAAGGGACACACTCAAAACAAAGGACTCCCTGAGCTTATATGCTCGGTTGGTAAGCCAACAGAGGCGAGATGTAAAAACATCAGGTGATCCAAACCGTCAAACGACGTGGCCTTTGCCGCAATCGGTACTTACAATGCAACCGGGACTGCACACAGCAACTGTATCACAGATACTAATATGGCCTAAAGGAATCTAGAATTAGCCCAACCGGGCTAAATATTAAGGTACACCAAGTTGCCCGACACTGATGAGACCCAATATAGGTCAAAACAGCTGTCTGTCGGTATTTGAAGTTGGTGGAACGCACTCAAAACAAAAAACTTTGACGAGGTGTAGGTTCAATTTTTTCTTATTACCATTATTCTTCTTTCAATACATTTTTTTTAATATTTAATTAAGGGAAATCTTTATATACATGGTACAGGAGGACATTTACATTATAAAAGAACAACAAATTTTCCTAGCAAGCAGTTTTCATATTATTAAGCTTTTAACAACTCCGCCGTTGTTAGAGAAACAACATAACAGTTTGTAACAAACATAAAAACTTTAAAGATTCAAATCTTTGTTAAGAAATTAATAAATTTTGGGTATTTATTTATAAAAATGTGTTTTCTTTCCCTTTTTCACATTTTAATAATCTCAAACATTTAAACAACAAATATAACGAGTTAAAAATAGTATTTTTTATACTTAAAAAAGTTTAAAATAAGTTTTTTTTATCTTATGACATCTAAATTAGTTGTACATAAACTTTTGGTTAAATCGGGGAACATTACGAGGTCTCCCATAATAAAACTAATACAGGGTGGTTTAAAAGAAACCTTTGTGACATTACAGCTCGGCAAATCTAGCTAGAGACTTTAAAAACTTGCAGTGTGCGCAAAACTTTAAAGAGAGAACGCATTCGGAAGAAAAGAGATGCATGATACGGCCGATCTCGGCCGCACAGAGGACTAATAACAACATTATTAAAGTTATTTAAGAGTAAAAAATAGTAAATTTTAGATTTAGGTATTTATACAATTAGAATAGAACTATATGTATTCAGGTTAACAAGAATTTCTTATAAAGTTAAGGTATGTTTAAAAGAGGTAACATTAATGTAAATAAAAATAGGTTTAATTAATGTAAATAAAAATACGTTTTTATTGATATAAGTATTAACAAGTCATGGTAAATTGACAATTATTTTTAAAGAGCCTAGTAGTGAGTAGCCGCTTTTATTGGTAATTTTAAATAAAAATTAAAGTGTAAAGTTTTGTCAGGTCTAGAGAGGTGATAGCTAATGTCATTTTTTGTATGCAGCGAGAAGCTGCACAACACGGCCCTACCCGTGTTTTTAAATTTTTTATACTTGATTTACTTTCATTTTAATCCACTGTTCGGAGCGTTCTTTATCCTAAGGTAAACTCAATGCAAATGACGATTTTAAGAGCTGGAATCTGCGCATCGATGGGCGTGTACCCTTTACACTCAAATGTAGTCACGTGGTCGGACTTTGAAGTGTGGAGCATAGTAGATATTTTTATCCTGTAATAAGGTTTAGACCAGGTAGGAAGAAGGAGGTGATACATCTCTATCCCGGAAAGCGGCCAAATAACTGTTTTAATCCCGGTGCACAACAAACTTTTCCCATTTTTAGCAAAATTGCATAGATTAACTTTAAAGAATAGACCATTAAGTTAGTGGTCTATTCTTTGAAGTTAATCTAAATTTTGCTAAAAATGGATAAAGTTTGTTGTGCACCGGAATTAAAACAGGTTCCACGTCAATGCGCCATCTATTGAGAATTTTAACAAATACTTAGTAGCACTAAGCTTAATTAAAATTCAAATAAAACCATTTCAACGTCACTTTTGTGCGTTTGTGGCGACTGTGCATTTTGGCAGAACAGTTGGCAATACTACAGTATTGCAGTAATGCGTTCTGCAAATTATTTAATTATTATTTAATAATGCTGTAAGAAAAGATGTAATTTTCGTTAAGGATGGTAGAAGACTCTCCTTGAGTTTTCTTTATCTTATAATTTGTTGTTAAAAGTTAAGTTGTATAGTATATATGGATTTCGTTGGCAAAACCTTTCTTAGGTTTTTAGTTGACTCGCCATCTAACGAACAACGAACGAAATACTGACTTATCTGGACGCTTGCTTCTGTACTGTAGAGATAGGACCTATATCACCTTTCCACCCTGGTTTAGAGCGATCCAACTTCACTTTCTCTCAATTAAATTATTTTTCTATGATATTTTTTGAGAACGTAGAAAAAGTATAATCTGAAACACATTTGGAATTGCATATTTTGCCTTTAGCTCGTGTGACAAACTTTTCACTCGAGCGGAATAAGCCGTATTCCAAACCTGTTAGAATATACCTACCTACTATTAGATGGTTTTTGATATGAACAAATAGGGTTTGAAACAAAAACGTTTCTATATTATGTGGAGTCATTCCAAATAAAAACACCAAATGGGGTGCGCCGCTTGATTTTTTATTTTGATAAAAAAAATTGAGGATGATCTTTTAGGTATCAAATATAAAAATCCGTTGCCGTTTTAATTTTTGGATTCTTTACATTTACTTGGCATCCTTAAGAAATCTGAAATCGTGTCAATTTTGTTTTACTGTTCAGTAAGTGTGTTTTCGATAAAAATTATTATTATCCAATTAGTTAATCACATAAAAGAATGGTAAACCACTAAATTTTCATGATAATTTGCCAATTTTTGTGATTTCTGTCTGGCTCCTGTGCCTATTCTACTAAATCTAGAAAGTTATTTTTTTCAGGTATCAAGTACTTATACAATAGAAAACGTAACTATTATTTTAAGTTTCTAGACTATCATTTTCTTTATTAAAACAATTATTAAAACTTGATAATTCTTAAAATTAGTCAATTTTGCCCTCAGAAATCATTATGTTGAGGAAAAAATAAAAATCTGAAACTTTGCCGGTTTAGTAGCGATATTGTTTAGTAGCGATATTGTTAGTTTTATTTATAATTTAAAATTTAGATGGCTTTCATGTTTGGTGGAGAAGTGTCAGAACTGTCAAAAATATTTCATAAATAATATTTGTGCGTTTTTCTTTGGTAAATTTTGTAGATAACATAATATGTTATATTATGTTACATACAAAACTTTTTAAAATCACCAAAGGAATACCACAAATAATAATTATGAAACATTTTTGACAGTTCTGATATATTTGGTAGTAATGTTATATTTTATGTATTGTATGATCATATATATCATATATATATATATATAAATACATATAATATATTATATCATATACATATATATATATATATATATATATATATATATATATATATATATATATAGGATTATATATTATTTCCATTATAATGAAGTATTTAATTGGCTAATTGGTGTTTAAAGAAGAAGTATGTAAAAAATATATTCAAGATCCTTATGGTTTATATCGTAAAGTATAATAAGTGAAATTAATAAAGAGTTAATTTAACAGTTTTTTGTCGGTTTCTTTCACAATTTAAACCAAGTTAGTCTTGTTCTATTATTTTGATCCCTTTAGTAAGGCACTGAATAGTTAAAAGTTATATGTATCTATTTTAAATGTGAGTGTTGGAAAAAAATTAACACAATTAGTAAATACTTCTTTAAATTTTAGTTTTTAGGTAACTGGTTAATATAAAACATGTTATAATAAAGGGGTTTATTTAGAATATTTTTTGGTTTTTGCTTATTTTTAACAATTTAAAACTTCTCAGAACTTAAATATTTTTTATGAGAAAGAGGTACAAAATTATGATAGGTGAGGACTACATTTCCTGAAAGTTTCAGATTTTTATTTTTTCCTCAACCCAATGATTTCTGAGGGCAAAATTGGCTAATTTTGTGAAATTATCAAGTTTCAATAATTTTTTAATAAAGAAAATGTTAGTCTAGAAACTTAAAATAATAGTACTTGATACCTGAAAAAAGCAACTTTCTAGATTTAGCAGAATAGGCAAAAATCACAAAAATTGGCAAATTATTACAAATCTTTAGTGCTTTACCATTCTTTTATGAGATAAACTAATTAGATAATAATAACACTATGTAACATGATATTTGTTTATCTGGATTTTATTACACAAATCGTAGTAGGCCATGCCCCCGATTACGTAACATACATTTGTTTTTTCAAACTGTCAAATTTTCAACGACAGCCATCAGATCGTGTTGATGGCTTTGAGTGTCATTAGGGGATATCCATTAATTACGTGAGGCATTTTTCTAATAATTTAGACCCCTCCCTTCCCCTTGGTGAGATTTGGTGAGATGTGGTAGACCCCCCCACTATCCCTCACGTAAAATTTTGGCCATTAAACTTTCTTTGTGGACAACAAGTAAAAAAAATTAATATTTTTTTTAACAAAAATTGGATTATAATACATATTTTTTAAACTCAAAAGGTTTCCTTGGTAACTACAAAAGAGAAAATTATACTGACCTTGTCAAAGTTTTATTAGGAAGTTTTAAAGAAATGGGATGCCGCATGTCGTTGAAAGTACCTACACTATTTGCATTCGCATCTTGACTTTTTCCGTGAAAATCTGGGAGATGTCAGCGAAGAACATGAAGAAAGTCCATCAAGATATTCGGGCAATGGAAAAGTGATAACAAGGAAGGTGGGATGCGACAATGATGGGTGACTATGTTTGGAATCTACTTCGGGAAGAAAAATGCATCATATAAAAGAAAAAGTCGTATTAAAATTCATTTTTGAGCCAAGATTTAAAATCTATGTTAAGAAAATATTTTTCTAGATTGTATGTTTTGTTAAAATAATAATTCGAAGTTGAATTTCTTGCCATTTCTTGTCAATATTTTTTTTTGTATTTGATAAAACTGGGTTTGATTATATTATATAAATACCCCTTAAAAAAATAAAAACTTATCACTACATTTTTTAAATTAATTTGGAATAGTTTTTTGGTACACAAATATTGATAATTTAACAAAAAAATCCAATAAACGAAACAAAAATCAAATTTTGTTACATAGTGTAATTAATATTGAAAACATACTTACTAGGCAGTTAAATAAAATTACAATCATTTCAATAATTGCTACAGAAAAAAAGTTTTAGCCTCTTATAAGAGAGTAAGAAAATGACACGATTTCAGGTTTCTAAAGGGTGCCGATTAAAAATAAAGCAACTAAAAATTAAAACGGCAGCGGTTTTTCATATATGATACCTAAAAGATCATCCTCAAATTTTTTCATTAAAATAAAAAATCATGCAGCGCACTTTTAAATTCATTTTTTTTGTTTTCATTTGGATTGACTCAGTTTTAATAGATAGCAAGGCATTCAATACGTGTTATGTGGTAAACCAGTATGCACAAAAGCGAACTTAAAATATAGCTTTGTTTCAACCATAGATAACAAAGCCTTAAACGAGAATCAAAAAACTGTCAAAGTCAATTAGATGTCTTACTAAAAACGATTAAAAACTTTTTTAACGACTTTATTGGAGTCGACTACTTTCTGATTCTTGTTGAAGCTTCGACCCATTAAATACAATAATTATTTAACAAAAAATTTTGTTTTATAATTTTAATTTTGCTTGGAAAATATTTATTTTGTAATACGATTAATAATTACATCATTATTAACCCAAAGTTTGTTGAAATTTAATAGTATATTACACTACAAGGGCAGAAAGTGTGAGATTCCTGCACTGCGCGCCATGATGCCCGAGGCGAAGCTGAGGGCATCATGGCACGCAGTTCAGGGCTCTCACACTTTCTGCCCGTGTAGTGTATACTATTTTTCTTGCTACCCCGCAGAAAATACGGGAAAAAATTAAATGTATATAAAAAAACTTGTGTCAAAATTAAAATCTGACGTTTAATTTAATACTGACGTTTACATTCAAAATCAATCAAACTGTAGCGTTGTCATGGTAATTCAGCGGTGCCAATACAGTAAAAATTAAAGGTTGTATTTTAATTAACAAATTACTACTTTATAACAAATAAAAGTACCATTAAACACTTAAAACAACATAAAAAGTAAAAAAGTAAAAACATAAATTGTTTATTTGTTGTTATAATTGCAAAATTATGGTTTAAAACTGTCATATTTTTGTGTTTCTCATGTTGGCAGTACGAAATTTGAATGTTAAGCACACGACTAAAAAATTTTTACTCCCGCTATTAGAGTGTGCGCGTATAGCTTGACCAATGCAAGAAACGTAAACTTTCTGCCGTGAAATCGGGGACGAAACAACGTATTTTGAGTCGAGGTAGTAAGAAAAAATTATTTACTTCATTATGTACGCTATAATATATATGTATTAGGTTAAGTTTTTTCAGAATTCAAAGTTAATTATTTGATATTTTATCTGATATCTGAAAACGGTTTAACCTCACATTTTACCAATCTGACATCTGTCAGACGGGTTTATCCATTTGAAAATATATTTTTAATTTAATTTTGTTTTATTTCTTGCTACTTACAGTAATCATAACCTAAAACCTAGAAAATTCTTAATATAAAAGTCACTAAAGCGAATAATTTTATGTTTTTCATTTAGGAAATTGAAATACTCACTTACATCGAAAAATACGTCGGGCGGTCTTTTCCATTGACAAACTTCGTTCGCAAAGCTTTTTGGCAAATACAGCTCCTGGGGATCCTCAAACAATGCTTCCGGAGATGGCTCTGAAGGACTTTTAGGACTTTTTGGAACTTTCTATAAGTTAAAAACAACTTTAGAGATACATTTTAGCTTTGTTAAGGAAATGCACGATGCACTTTGACAAAAAAAATATCTCCTACAAGGAAAAAAGTTAATTTTTAATTTACTACTTATTGCAATATAAAAAATGGCATGCTATAACTTTGAAAGAAGTTACTTAAAACTTAAGCACTGATTACTCTACTTGTAAAATCAGAACATATTTTGTAATATTATGCAGACTGAACAATAACCATTACCTAGGTTTTAAAAGTTTAACCAAATATTAATATTTAAAGAGAGAACGCATTCGGCATAAAAGAGATGCATGATACGGCCGATCTCGGTTTAAATATCAACATTATTAAAGTTATTTAAGAGTAAAAATTAGTAAATTTTCGATTTATTTATACAATTAGTATAGAATTATGTATTTAAGGTAAACGTTTTTATTGATATAAGTATTAACAAATGATGGTAAATTTACAATTATTTTTAAAGAGACTAGTAATGAGTAGCCGCTTTTATTGATAATGGATTTTAAATCAAAATGAAAGTGTATTGGGCGTCTACATTCGTACCAGTGTTGTCAACCCAAAATCTGTCTAGGAGGTAGATATGATTTTAAAAGTTGGTAGTTTCCAACAAATCTTATTTTGAAAAGTTAGTAGGTCTACCACCTATATTTTTTAATTATTCTAAAGACTCTAAAGTAAGAAATCTGTCACTCTGAATTTATTTTTTAATGGGTTAAAAATATTTTAAGTATTTTCATAAAAAACAATAATAAAGCAGAATTACAGATTGCCAATATTCAAAATAAGAATAGAAAAAAGTTAAAAATTGAAGAACGAATTATGATAATTATTAAATTATAAATATGCACTTAAATTAATTGATTAAATATTTAAAATCTGGAATTATTAAATTACGATATCGTAATATAATAGTATACAACCCAAGTGCCTATTTATAATTAAAGGGATTAGAAGCAAAAGGGTACAAGGGCATCTTTTCTAAATTGAAAAAAAGATCAAAAATACTATAAGAAAAAAAGTATAGTTTTTTTATTATTCTATTCTTTAAAAGAATACATATTTTGATTGAATAATTTATAATGTTCTTCAGTAGGTGTAAGTTGCTCAGCACTTTTGTTGATAAATGTAATATATAATAGACGGCGTTACAGTAACGCATAGCTATAAAATTCGGTAAATGTTCAAAGATCGAAAAGTATAAAACACAACGCATTATTAATACTTTCACGGTAATTTAAACTTAAAAAATTGGTAGATTTTTCTTACAAAGTGGTAGATTTGAGAAAGACACTAAAAGTAGGTAGATCTACCGAAAAGTTGGTAGAGTTGGCAACCCTGATTCGTACGTCTCAAGCTAGATTTGTTAAGCTGTACTTTTAAGTTAAATTAAAATTTTTAATAAAAGAAAATCCGTTAGGACCAATAAATAAATTCGATAACTGTTGACAACTCGAATATATTAGTTAGTTAGTTATAACCAACCTCACTCTATACTTTTAATAATAGTTATAACCGAGGGGTAAACCACTTTAAAATCTTAGAGACAACCGTTCAATGTTAGTGGACGTTGTGTTGAGATTTTTTTCCTTATCAGACGTTATCAATAAGGAAAATTTGCTTAATCGGTGCTTATTCAGTGCTTAGCGATGCGTTGTACATGACTACCCTGGTTGTTGTTATCCTTAGCCGTTAATTCGTAAGCGACTTTTAATTTTTAAAAATCAGTGGTTTACCCCTCGGTTATAACTAACCTCACTCTATACTTTAGTAATTGTTATTATAATTTTCAGTTCGTTTTATATATAGTTTTACAAATAAAACTGGCTTAAAAATAAAATGTTGTATGCCATTCAACTGAGTGCCTTTTTGTGCTCACTCAATTGTAAGCCTCCGCTAACGCGTTGGCCTTCAAACTTTGAGCTCAGCAAAAAAATACTTACTTCTCGGCGTTATGTTATAAATAACTATTAATTTACAAATATTTACAATACATTAATAAATATGTGGAGTTTTATACTAAAACTTTGGGAATGATTACCAAATACTATTGGAAGCAATTCCCCAATAATATTTTTCTATGTAGTCGGCTATGTATTTATGCTAGATGTCATTGTATCGTATCTTGAGTGCATTTGATGGGTTATCGTTAAATCCTGTTAAATTAATTAATTATTTCTATTAAACCCTTAAGAAATTGCTAAAAGCTCATGTAATAAAAACGAATCCTAACCTTAAATCTAATTATTCAAATCTACTCTTTGTTTTTTGTTGTTGTTTTTGTGTCATATGACACAGTAAATACTGTTCTAGTATCTCCGAAATCACCATATGCGTAGAAAACACATTTACAATATTTTACTCATGGAATAGTTGCCAAACAGCCCACGTATGCTAAATAAATAAGTTTGGGAATCATTACTTACAAACGCGTACTCCTAAATATCAAAGCTGTCCCAAGTCTACTGAATTTTTTAGTAGCCATTCTCCGTGTATACAATTGTAAATACGAAACCAACCAACCAACAAAAATAACGTAACACTCCAAAACTTTGTCATTTTTAAATTGGCAACAGCATATTTAATTCTTAAAGTATTTTACTTTTCAGTATTGTGTAGCCTGATCTTTCTACTTTAACACAGACCTTAGACTTTGGAAGTACATATTTTTGTCGTACTTAAAAATTATGTCTTTTGTTAACAAATTCAAAGTTTAAAATTAATCTTATTCAGCCATTTAAAAATAGTAATAGATTTATAGTATTTCCTTAAAAAATTACTTACATTATTTAATAAAAATATATGATAAATTTAAAAAGACAAAAATACTATTTGTAACGAACGGGTTATGGGGGGCACACATTAATAATTAAAAAGAATATTAAAACCACAAAAACCCACCTTTGGCCAAAACACGTGATCGTCTAGTTTAAAGAAATTAAGTTAGGACCCCTTTTTGTTGTGAATACGGTTCTGGATACGTAAGTACTTAAGCAATTGATAAGATATTTAAAAGCAAAGAAAAAGTATTAAATTAAAATAAGTTTATTAATAAAGGCAATTAATACAAGAGTTAATTATTGTTACTGTACATTAATAATATAAATAAAAACATTTGTATTTGAAAAGTATGATTGATTTAAGTTAATAAGGTAAAACCTTAAAAACCCACATATACAATACAGACATATAAATAATACAACAAAATAATACAATAAAATCAAAGTAATCAATATGAATATAATCAATTATATTATCATATTGCTAAGATTATTCACCTACATCAATGGTAGGCTCGGACGGTGTAGAAAAGCAAATACACATTGAAATAATTATCAATGTACAGCAACAAACGACAATAATGTGAAACATAAAGTATAATATAACTTAGGTCACAAACAACAATAATAAATGGTAGTGGTAAATAAAATATATAAATAACAAATGGTATAGTGGTGGACAAATGATAAATAAAATCAGGTATGATAAAGTAATAAAATTATGTCAGTGCAAATCAAATATAGTAAAATAAAATGATTATCAATATTAATAAAATAAGACAATGTCATAAAAACTCACATCATGGGCCCTACCTAGCATTTATTGTAAAGATGGGTGAATTGATACTTACAAGTCTCCGGGCTCGACCCCCTCGTCCGATACCAACACCGTTAAACAATAAAAGAAAATTCTAACAAGTGTTTGGTGTGGCGAAATTGCAACAAAGCCTCAACATATTAAATAATGAATATCAATTTATCAAATAAATAAAATAGGATAAACTGTACAAAATAACGTATATAAATGTTAAATATAAATATGTAGTAAAATGTAAAATTACATTACAATATAATATGTTAAAGTAAATGTAATATAAATATAATAATTATAAACATAAAATAATGATTATAATAAATTTGTAATTTGGTTTGTCCAACAAAAACCTTTAAGATAAAAACAATTTAACTTATTCCTTCTCTCACTTAGAACAAGTTGAAATACTAATAATAAAATATAGTTTAAATTAAATATTAAATAATTAACCACTCATTATGATATTTGTGACCTCAGATTATAATAACTAAATATAGAAAAAAACTGAAGTTATATAAAAAACAATGTATTATTTGTTAAATTCACTCCCTTATAAAATTAAAGAATTCAACTCTTCCCTTCAAATAGTAAAACGTAACTCTCTCTTCAAATAACAAAACCCAACTGTCCCTTTAAATAGCAAAACCCAACTGTCTTAAAAAATACTGTCTACCCTAAGTTTTTAACACGCTCTTTTTATGTTTATTTTATCAAAGCCAAACAGGCCTATCGATATATAGTTCATTTGGAACGTACAAACCTCATCTCTCTACCGATATGGCTCCGACATACGTGCGGTATTGGTAAGTCTCCCTAGTGCACCATGGGATGCTTAAAGACATCAACACGTAGGTCTACACTTAGCGCCTTTACAGTGATTTACAAATATCATTCTACGTCAAACGGACTATACCCTATTTTTATTACGTGTTGACAAAGACTTTAACTCTGAAATGCTTAGGTTAAATATGGCCCTAATAAATTATATAATATAAACAGAATAGGTCTAATGCACACTTGATACAATTTTAAGTTAAATATTTAGAACTAGTCTCATATTTCGTAAAGCCTTAAAATAATAAATTAAGAAATGTTAAAAATTAACTGCCCCATATAGCGTACCATTACATATTGATGACAAAAATTAAATTTTAAAATTTAACATTTTACCAATTGGTAAGTTTATATTTAATTTAATTATTATTAAATATAGATATTAAATTATGTACACATTTACTTGGAAAAGGGAGTTTTGACAATCAATTTTACTTAGTTTAGAAGATAATATTCTTACTTAAGTTTCACCAAACTTCTATACCATAAAAATAACTTTAAGAAATTATATTATTACCTTTTTAAAATAAAATGCAGTAAGGAAGCCGTTGTGTAATACAAACTCTTAATGACTATTTAATTATTTTTGCTAAAGGTGATTTACTACAATACAATCTTGTCTAAATCGTAAAATGGCAGGCCGTAAAATAACCAGGAAATTGAATGTTGAAGTCATTAATAAAGGCACTAATCGGCATTGCCAATAAGTACGTATCCCATTATATCATACGTATATAGCTAACAAGTCGAATTAGTTGCTGGAAAGTGCATTTTCATCCGGTACACCGATGTATTCTTAGCATAGGTAATATGAGATAGGCATCTACTTTGGAATAAAGGAAAAGTTTAACTCATACTGCAGCGTTCTTAAAAAAAATTTGAGAAACGTTACATAATAATTACACTATAATAGTTCGATTTACTAACATTGAGTACGCCCACCTATATTAACTAATTTTGGGCTGCTGAAAAAATGCTACTCGTTTTGCTTCAGGACGTCTAGGATTCGAAATAATTGCGTAATAAAATGCTTTGCCCAATTATCTCAAAATTTAAGTTTTTTGTTAATATTTTGATTGTTTATTAAATTACTTTGCCTTAAAATCTATTTTGGATGTTCAGTATATTTTTGACGTTTTTTGTCAAAAATATACAGGGACTCCATACACAGTCATCGGTAGATAAATGTTAAATAGAAATTTTGTTTGTTCCATTGTAGCCGTATACTATAGTAGTATTATATAAGGGATATTTAATAAAGCACTTTTCTGCAGAGAATTGCTTTATTAAATACCAAAATTAAAATTATAATGTTTTTTTTTTTGGTAAAAAGTATCATTTTTTGAAATTTTTGTGTTTTTTGAATTGAAAAGGCAACAAAGTAAATGGGTTTCGGTATAAGCATTACTCTTCAACTATTATTTGATATGTTTTTATTTTTATTATGCCTAATGTACCCAAAAGTCTTATCAAAATTTAATATGGAATTGAAGTATAAAGGCGCCTTTATCTACTTTATCGTTCAAGCACACTAAAATGCATCTATTAATTATTGACATTTAAAATTTAAACTTTAAATTGTATTTTTACTTGAAAGTGATTTTAAGAACCAAAAATGAAAAAAGAGCAGGAAATGGAAGTGGTAATGGAAGTGGCAGAGAAAGAAATTATGTCGTCGTTGTAAATTTGTTTTGTTTTTGCTGCGGTTCCTTTACACCCAAGAAAAACCAATGCAATATTTCATTACAAAATTTTATGAGATATACCTACTACTTTAATTTTGCAGGAATATTAAATGGACGAAAGATCGAGCATTCAAAGTTGACGAGCTTGTCGTATATGGAAGTGTTGAAAATGTTCTTGGTTCATATCGGGCCTAAAATTGGCGCCAATTCATTGAAAAAATGCTTTCGGTTTTGCAAAGAATTAGCGAATATGTCATTTAAAATACATTTTCTTTTTTTTTCATCCTGATAAATTTGCCGAACTGATGAACATGGAGAACGATTTCACCAAGTAACTGCAAATCTAGAGCATTGGTAGATATCTATGGGTATAGCGGAAAAAGTTGGATTCATTGCTAGGAGACATTTACTGAATTTGCATCAAAAGATGTACTGAAACTTGTTTACTTTGTTGCCCTTTCAATTGAATAATTAAAATAAACGACATAAAATGTCAAATAATGTTATATGTTCATGTGTATTGCTGGTTTTCCGGGATCTGCTCCGTGTTGTCGGTTTTTGGTTCTTAAAAGAACCGTATGTCTGACGAAGTTTTGGTACAATCTCATGAACAATCTTCTGGTCTTATCTGCTGGGCTGCTGTTGCTGCTCTGCTGCGAGTTAGACGAACCAAAAACCGACAACACGAAGCAGATCCCGGAAAGTTAACATGGTTGCAGATGTGTTTTTTTTAAGTCCAAAAGTACTGGTACGTAAAAATCCAAAATTTTTTGTTTATTTTTAAAATAACCAAACTGTTCATCAGCCATTCCACGCTACTCGGGAATTTTGGTAGCGTCCGTTACAATAAAATTTTTTGAATAAAACTACCGTAATTATGATGCTTATAAATTTAAGCCTAATTATTACAAGCATAATAAACATGTTTGCAATAGTAACTATTGTAATAGTATTTAATTTAATTACGGTAGCTTTTACTCACAATTTTTGATTGTAACGGACGCTACAAAAATTCCCGAGTAGCGTGGAATGGCTGTCATATTAATTTTAATTTGGAAAATGCGGTTTTTGTATAAAAAATATAAATTAATAAATATTTAATACTACATAAATTGAAGTACAATTTATGGTAAAAATATAATCAAAAAATCACAAAAAAGCAAAACCTGCTTTATATAGTCCTTGAATTTTAAAACATATTTAAAAACCAACTCTTTACCTATGTAATTTTGTGTAGAACTAGAATGAAAAGCCAATTTTGTTATAATGGGATAATACTCATAAAAGGAAGCAACAAAATTTGTACGGCTTAAAATTGTGCAAAATTAAATTGACTATACTGGCCTTTCCTTTACCGGCGTCCCATTTCTCCTGATTGTATTCGGAATCAATCCATTCTCTAAAAGGCAACGTTTTTTGATCTATGCCCTCAACATAAGGATTTATTGGAAACGGAATTGGCTCTGTCATTTTTAATCAGTTTGACAAATTGTTCAACTTATTGCACTACGCCGCATTTCAATTGAACTACTCAAGCAAAACCAATTTTTACTGAAAACGAAAATTCAAACTTCCTATTCCTGTTCAATCTAATCTCAATTAAATCCAGTTCATTAACACATGCAGATATGATCTAGAATCTCATAATAATAATTGCTACTTGTACCGGTTTCTCCGGCTACTGTCTTTCAATAAAATATTCATTATGCAAAATGTATTAGAACATTATTTTGAAAAGTAATTAAAGAGTGCTCTCTTTAATAACGCTTTTCTAACAATTATACTTTAAAGTATGTAAATTGGTTGGCAATTAACACAGATAAAAACTACTAAAATCTCTCTCAAAATCCCTTTATTCAAAATATATCTTTATGACATTTTTTTAAATTTAATTAGGTACTTGACAAAATATATTTTTATCAAAAAACTCTTTTCTATGGTCTTAAAAGATAAAACCCACTATCATCATGTTTTTATGACACTCCTCTCCCTAATAAAAACCTTCAAAACTGATAATTTCAGGGACACTTCGTTTAATGCTACCTAAAAGATTATTAACAACAAAATCTAACATCTTAAATAAATTTTCCTGTAATGCCAAATTCACTTTTTAGTTTAAAGTTATGGCCAAATTCTTTCTTCTAAAAGTTTTAATTTAATTAATTCATTAATACTGGGTGACATTCACAATATCGAAATTCATTATATCGAATTCAAAATATCGAACACTTTTTATCGAAAATCAAAATATCGAAAATACAAAATGTCGAAGATCAAAATATCGAAAATTCAAAATGTCGGAAATGATAATATCGAAAATTAAAATGTCGATTTGAAAATGTCGAATAATTAAGGTAGTGTCTCCCCGACCGTCGGACGGACGTAGAAATGTGTGTGCTCAACCGTCGCATATTTTAACCTCATTTTCAACTAGAGGCTAAATATAGCAAAGTATTCCTCAAGGTTATGACGAATAGCTGTCATTTTGGTTATGCAGGTACACTGCATTGTGCCATACCAAACTAACCCAAACTTAACAACCCAACCCAACCGACCCCGCCCCATTGGGCCCCTCCCGCCCCATTGTCACAATCCAGCCTGCCCTTAGATATATTATACCTCTATTGCTCAATGGGGCGGGAGGGGCCCAATGGGGCGGGAGGGGCCCAATGGGGCGGGGTCGGTTGGGTTGGGTTGTTAAGTTTGGGTTAGTTTGGTATGGCACAATGCAGTGTACCTGCATAACCAAGATGACAGCTATTCGTCATAACCTGTATGACAGCGGTCGAGATTTTATTTTCGATAAATTGAAAATTCGATTAAATAAAATTTCTTCATTTTCAAATCGACATTTTAATTTTCGATATTATGATTTTCGACATTTTGTATTTTCGATATTTTGATTTTCGATAAAAAGTGTTCGATATTTTGAATTCGATATAATGAATTTCGACATTGTGAATGTCACCCATTAATACTAGATTACCAGCATTAAAAGTGGTTGAAAAATTTTAGCTCAATAGTTGGGATCCAAGTAGGTTAAAATCAATTTCTTAGATTCGTTTAGTTACGTTTAAAGCTAAAATAAAGCGTGTAAAAAATACGTGTAATTTTTTTTCGTGTCCTGAAAAAAGTACATTGCATATCGACTCAATAGTCGGCGATTTCTGAAGTATGTAAAGTTGGCTGCCAATTTCACTTTTGCTGCCTTTTGAGACAGCGAAAAGAAATCGATAATATTTACGCGTTTTTATACATCCTTGAATATGGCGCATACTAGTATATTATGTATCAAGTTTTATAAACGCCATTTTAGTTACGAGTTTTATTAGGCACGAGCGAAGCTTGCAAGCGAGTGTTTAATAAAAACGAGTGTCTAGAGAAGTTCATAAAACGAGTTGCATACTATACTTTATCTACGACGAACATAAAGAAAAATTTAAAGCCAATTTTATTTCTTGAATGTCAAGAGTCAACGAATTTAACCTCACTTTTTCCCAATTAATAATAAAGCTAACTTCAGCCCGTGACTAAAATGCCCAAAACCCACTACTTATAGCTAACTTCAGCCCGTGACTAAAACGCCATAAAGTCACAGCTCGTCAATGTGGGAGTAGATAAAAAATATTATCGTACAATTGAAGGAATTATCTTTCGCGTTTACAGCTGATTTTTTTTTTGTATATGAGTAGATTGAGTCGTCTACTTTCATCAGAAATCCGCCATTTTCACATTTCTCGTGTCGAAAAATAAAGCAAAATTCTGACCAAAAATTTGACTTAAAAAGAACCTAGGTAAATTTTAGAAGTTAAGGTTTGTATCCAAATAAACATTATTTCCCTGTTCCATGTTTCCTATTAACTGTTGTTACAGTAAACAAAATTAAGTTGCTTCGTGTAAACATCAATGAAAACAGTGGAACTTTTCACAAAAAAATATTTGGAAACTTTTCATTGCTCCTGTGGAGACAGTATATTAATTTTTGCTTAGTTTGTTTAGTTTATACTAATAAAATGTTGAATGTGCCTGTTGGTTACATTGCCTGATACTGTATTATATTTTTTTAATGCATTTATAAGTTGCAAACCACTATACTGGTCTCTCTCTTTTAGCCTTAAACGAAACCACTATTTTTCTTTTACCAGGCTTGAACTGTATGTAAATAACCCCTATTATATAGGGGCCATGCTGTATAATAAGTTGCCTGAACCTATACAAAATATTTTGTGCATGCTTTTTATTCTATTCAGGATTATTTATCATACGAATTATGATGTTTATATTTGGTTTATTGTGTTTAATTTAATTGTATTTTCACTTTTTCTTTTTTGACTTATCCTGTATTACTTTGTAATCCTTTGGATAAATAAATTTTATTATTATGAAGATATCCAATGCCAAGATGCCAATATGCAGACGATTCATCTATGTTGGTCAAGTCCGATCTGGATAGCTTTCTGGAATTCCTTAGATGTCTTGCCAGCATAATGCAACAATGGAGTAAGAAAAACTCATTAATACTTAATCTGCAGAAATCTGCGGTAATTAAATTTAACAAAACTCAAAATGATAGAAGTTTATTGGTTATTGCTCAAAAAAATCTTTTCCAGAGGTATCGCAATTTAAGCTATTGGGACTATTTTTGGATAATAATATTTCATGGGACTTGCATATTAATTATATAGCTAGAAAACTAAACAGCTGTAATTATGCTTTACTTAATCTACGAACAAAGGTCTCAAATTTATTAGTGACTTATTATAATGCAAGTATCAACTCCCACATTGAATATGGCACAATAATCTGGGGTGGCTCGAGTAAAACTTAGATGTCATTGTAAACCATTGTTTATTAAAAATAAAATAATGACTGTTTTTTCACTTTATTTATACAATATTATAATATTTGTTGCTCAAAACAAATCGAAGTTCATTACGAACGGTGATTTAAACTCTTACTTATTAAATATTCCTATACATCGCTCGGCGAAGTTTGAAAAAAGTAGCAGATATACATATTGTCATAAAACTTTTATGATAAAAGCTTATAATAAATTACCAAAAAAATATTTGAAACTAAAGATAAGACAGTTAAAGTTTCTTATCTTATGTGATATTTTAATTTGGTCTATAAAGGACCTATATTATTTTTTAATTAATTTTAAGTATTTTGACGATTGTAATTTATACTAAATTTAAGGAGAAAAATAAAGTTTGAATTTGAATTTGAATATCAAGCTTGAAAAATAGATCCCATCGCCCTAGAACTGCAACCAAAGTTTCAGATTGAGATCTATTTTAGTTCTCTATAAACCTCTAATAAATTTGCACCACCCTGTATAAAAGCGCTAAAAACGTTTTCCCTTTTATTTTTTCTAAAAAGTGCCTAAATTAAATTTGTTATACATTTTACATTATAATAGGGTACATCATATTTCTTGGCAAGGTGAATATGGTGCATTAGCGATTTTCCAAGAAATGTCAGAAGAATTTTACAACAATTTTAATTGCAGCCAGCAATGCTTGTCAACTTTAATATCAACCAAAGTTTTCTGATAAGCTTTTGTAAAGTGAATATCTAAAATTTGGAATGGTTTGGATTTCTAAGAAGCACTATAAATTTTTACAAAGGTTATGGATCATATTTTATGTAATAAAATTGTTACTGTTCAAAAGTGTTGGCTTTATTTAATTAAATTTCAGGGTGCTTTCCACGAAATATTACAAGAACACTTTACAAGTGAACATAAATAGAAAAAAAAAAAATATATATATATATATATATATATATATATAGTTATAGGCGATTGTATGTGTGAAAGGGAGGTGAAGTATGGGAGAAAGGGAGGGTAGATATTGCAAGAAAAAAATCTAGCCATCCCTGTCCCAATTTATATTGTCAGTTTTGTCTTTTAACGTAAAAAAGGTATGAGGTCTTCCTAAAAATACAAACATTACCAATTTCTTTAAGATTTAAAACTTTTTTATTTGTTATAAAACCATTAACAGCGTAATTTGGTATAAAGTTCTTAATTAATTTAGGGAATTATGATTGTAAGCTAAAAACAAATAGGTATTTAAAATACACTTAAAAGTTGCCTTATAACAAATTTTGACTTAATTTAGGTATTTTATATTAAAGTCAAAACAATTTTTTTTCGCTCTTACCCTCTTAAATGATTCTATTTAATATAAAAAAAATCTTCACCAAATATGGGCGTTCCAGCTCAACTCTAAAGCCGGATTTATAGTTCTAAAACGTAGTCGTAGTCGTTGCAGTTGCAGTTGCAGTAGGGGCAAAACAGTCTGTGATTGGCTGGAGGATCTTTGCAGTAGCATCCAAGGTCGTTGTCGTAAGTTGTCGTAAGTTGTCGTAAGAGATGACCAACTTTTATCTTTTCTTGCGGCAACGACTACTACAGCCAATTTAATTGCAGATATTGCAGAAAAACTGTCAAACTCAAAAACAAT